ATCTGCTCTTACCCTTAGTTTTAGTTTCTGAGATTTCAGTTATCCACCAGCAAAGGCTGTCCCCAAAATACATATTTTAAATTTTTAATTTTTACTAATACATGTTTACAGTACTTAATGATTATGTTCATCTTAGGGAGTTGGTACATATACATAGCACATCTTAATTCCTTTTACATCCTCTTGCCCCTCTCTTCCCCGTCCAAAAATTTTAAATGGAAAATTCTAGCTGTTAAGTTTTTTGTTTTGTTTTTTGGTACCAGGGATCTAACTTGGCACCTTGCACTTGCAAGGCAGGCGGCGGCACCACTGAGCTAAATCCTTGACTAGTTGTTAAGTTTTAAATTGCACACCATCCTGATTAAGGTAATGAGATCTCTGCAGTCCTGTTCTGAGAACTATATGGAATCATCTGGAAAATTATTCCATACAGAACTAATTTTGCAAATATCCTATTACAGGAAAAAGTTTGGTTCTGTACCATTAGAACTTTAAAGAGATTAAAAAAAAATCAGTGAACTAAATTTAATAAATAGTTATTGGAAGTGCACTATGCATACTCCCTGCAGCAAAGAAGGCAGTTGAAGAAATAAATGTATAAGGAGACAATTTCAAACTGGCTTAGTGGCATATGGCTGTAATCCCAGCACTCAGCAGGCTGAAGCAGGAAGATTGCTGTGAGTTCAAGACTAGTTTAGACTACATAGTTAAGGCCAGTCTGGAATACCCAAACCCTGTCTCCAAAAAAAAAAAAAAGACAGTTTCAGAGCATGCGGCTATGGCTCAGTGCTATAGTGCTTGGTACACATAGGGCCCTGGGTTTAATCCCTAGTGCTGCTTTCTACAAAAGGTACTGCAAGAGATCATTTCAGAACTCAGTGGCAAACATGAGAGTTTAAGCAGTAGTGCTCTGCAGATGCTCTTCCACTTATACTGGGGTTACCTCCCAATAACTATAAGTTGAAAACATTGAAAGTCAGAAAGCATTTAATGCCCTAACCCACTGGACACTATCTTAGCAAGACTGTGCATTATAGAGTCTTGGTTATCGCCCCTCAGGACCATGTGGCTGACTGAGAACTACATTTTGTAGCTGCTACCACCTAGCATCTCACAAGTGTATTGAGGGTGGAGATTAGGCCTGGGGAAAACCTGTCAAACAGGGGAGTAGTGCATGTCATACCCAGGGACATGTACAGAACACAGGTTCCAAGATGTCTCTGTGGCTCCTGAGCATTGTACATGGACCAGTGAGTAAAGCATTATTTTCAATTCTTCATTTACATCTGGTGGGAAGCCAAGTGAGTCTTACCACAGGGCAGTTTAAATCTGACACCAGGTTGTATAAGTCTTTTTGGGTTTTTTCTTTTTTTGGTACCAGGGATTGAACTTGGGACCTGGCATTTTCAAGGCAGGCAGTGGCACCACTGAGCTAAATCCCTAGCACCCCCCATGTAGTTTTTGATAGAACAATTGTCCCAATGCCTTACTTGCAGGAAAGGAAGCCAATCCAGGACTTCTGGATACAAAAGATCCCTTTCCTTTATCGTAGGGGGTGCTGTGAGTCTGTTCACCAGCCTGCTTGCACTCTGCAGATTGTAGTACTTTTCCACTTTGATAAATGTACATCCTGCTACTTTTTCTGTGTGTCTTGTCGAATTCTTTGTTCAGGATACTGAAAACCTTGAAAGGATTTCCCCAGAACTCATCCTCTGATAAAAGTATCATACTATGCTCATCCATGTAAAAACAGATGATCTTAATTTGTGTGTGTGTGTGTGTGTGTGTGTCTGTCTGTCTGTCTGGGTAGGTGTGAGCACTTGTATATGTGTATGTAACTTGTTAAATGGGCCTAATAATCCTAGTCATGAGGATTAAATAAAACAAGATAATATATGCTAAATATAATTGTATCTGGCATGCAGCTAATTTTCTTCCCTTCCTTCTAAGTTATTGAATATCTTTTTAGTGTAAGCTCTTAGAAGGCAAGGGACTTCTTGGTACCTAGCATGGCATACAATAAGCACTAAATAAATTTGTGCAACCTGAATGAATGGATAAACGATCATCCTTATCTTAAATTATCAACTGATGATAAGTAGGAAATTGGGACAGTCTCACTACGTAGTTCAGGCTGGTCTTGAACTTACTATGGAGCCTATAGTAAACTCCTGGGGTGCTGGGGTTATAGGTGCCACCATGCCTGGAGGGAATTGGGGCTTTTTAAAAATAATTTTTTTTTTTTTTGTTACCGGGGATTGTACTTGGGTCCTTGCACTTGTGAGGCAGGTGACAGAACCACTGAGCTAAACCCCTGGCCCTAAGGGCTTTTTAAATCAACCTAAACTTCCTTGGTCTTGCATTCACTTGACCAAAAAAACCAAGAAACTTGTTTTTCTTTAGTTCAAATGAAAACATTGGTTAACATTAGACCTGTGAAGTCGTTAAAGAGGGAATTATTCAGTGATACTTGTTAAAGATGACAAGGCAGATTTTATTCAGAGAGAGGCAATGGTGATAGGTATAGGTACCACTGCATTGGGGTCTTACGGTGGAAAAGAGAGATCAGATTCAACTCTGACTCCAGTAAGGACAAGTGGAGGTCTGTAACCCAGGGGCAGAGTAGAGTTGAGTAAATGGGAAATTGCTAAGAAGAAACCTGAGGGGTAAGCGAGTTTATGGCTCAAATGGCTTGATAGGATTGTTATTGAAAGCAGACTAGAGTGATGAACTATTAATGGTGTTCTATACAAGGGTGAAGAACTTCCACTGAACTCACTTAGCAGGATTCTATTTTTTTTTTTTTAAACCAAGATTCTTGATCAACATAGATTCTATAAGGAAATCCAAAATCAGGCCTAGTTAGAAAGAACTCAGGATCCTGATTCAGATATGGTCAAAGGAGTCTTTACCTGGGAGTGGTGGCGCACACCTGTAATCCCTGCACTCAACAGGCTGAGACAGGAGGATTGCTGTGAGTTCACATTCAGCCTGGGGCTACATAGTGAGTTCAAGGCCAGTCTCAACTACACAGTGGGACTCTAGCTCAAAAAACAAAACAAAACAAAAAAACAACAAATTAATTTAAAAAAGAAGGGGCATGGTGAGGCACACCTATAATCCCAGCACTCAGGAGGCTGAGGAAGGAGGATTTCTGTGAGTTCGAGACTAGCCTGGGCTACATAGTGAGTTCCAGGTCAGTCTTAACTACATAGTGAGACCCTGTCTCAAAACAAGAATAAATAAATAAATAAAATAAAATAAAAAGAAGAGCCCCTTACCCCATCTCTCTCTGGTACTGGGGATTGAACCCAGGGCCTTCACACTAAGCTACATCCTTGGCCCTTTTTAAATTTTATTTATTTATTTGTTTGTTTGTTTGTTTGTTTGTTTATTTTGAGGCAAGGTCTCACCAAGTCACTAAATTGCCCAGACTGTGTTTAAATTTGTCATCCTCCTGCTTAAGTCTCCCAGAATGCTGGGTTTATAGGCATATATTATGATGCCCAACTATCAGTTTTTTATTGGATTTTTATTACAGCAATGTGAGCTCTTATTCATTCAGAGATGAGAATATCATGGTCTAAGATTGATCAAGAAGTTGTTGGAATAGACATGTTCAGGTTAAGGTGACCTTGCCTTAAAGAGAACAGATTATTTTAGGATAGTGCACTATGAGAACAAAATGACAAGCAGTATCAAAGTGTGAAGGTGATGTAGACAGCTATTTAAGCAGGTTAAACTCCAACAGTGAGCTTGAACTGTATTTTTAGTGAAAACCTTAGTTTCTCCCAGCATAAACCATCTTATATTAGTGGTTGAGACAGAGAAGAGAGGGCACCTTTTCACTTTTTTAGCATGAAAATAAGTAAAGCTCTCTGGTAAAAGGAAGGAAAATTTAAAAGCTTCCTTAAGTTACAGGGTTTTTTTTTAATCCCAAAATTTTAAACAAAAATGTTTTTGAACAATAGCAACAAAATAAGTCAGTGAGGAAAAGAAGTGAGAAGAGTTATGGTAGCAGACCTGATTGAGGAAGCTGTCATAGCTTCATGAAGACAAGGCAGAGAGATAATAAAGGGAGGTAACTTGCCATTCTGTAGTGACAAGCAGGCCACTGGATCCTCAGGAGGCAGATCGAGAAGCACATGAAGCCAGTGGCCCTCTTGGCTTTACCTAACCTGAGCACTGAGCTCTTTTATTTTCCAGCTCCAGAACCAGTATCAGTTCCTTTGCTGGCCAGATATATTTGTGTGTGATATTTTCTTTTGTGTACTGTACCTCCTCTTCTGCCTCATATACCTACATATATATATATATATATATATATATATATATATACATAGAGAGAGAGAGAGAGAGAGATCTCTATATATACATACATACATACATACACACATATATATGTTTGGTACTAGGGATTAAACCCAGGGTTTCATGTTTGCTAAGTAAATTCTGTACCTGAGCCACATCCCCAGCTCTTTTTAAATTATGAGACTTGCTGTGTTGTCCAGGCTGGCCTTGAAGTTGCTATCTTCTTGCCTTAGCCTTTCAAGTAGCTGGGTTTATAAGCATGTGCCACTGTGCCTGGCTTGTCATATTATATAATCTTATAGCCTGAAAGTTATTACTTTGTGCAAACCAGATGGTGATGGTATAAGATAAGGAAGAGCTGGCCTCCTATAGGCTTCAGGTTCTGTCCACGAGACTAGGGGATTGAACTGCTGTATCTTAGTCTAAAGATGCTAATTATGCAAGTTTACTTCCCAGGCCAGCACCAAACAGCTTTCTAGTAGCTCTAGTTTACCCAAAGAACATAATGCCTTATCCCAACAACCCAGCCCCCCTGTAGTTTTATATCTAGAGCTAAAGTCTTTCAAGTATAAGCCAGATGAAAAAAAAGTTCTAGCTATTTTAGACCCATTGTGAAAGACTGGGAGACTGAGGAAAGCAAATGTAGGAGGACAAGAAAGAGGGGTTACTCTGGGCAGGTATATACTTACCTCTTTTTGTCCCCCTTCATTATCAGTTAGCAGCCATTCGATATCCAGGGTGTCTGTTTCAGGGAGCCCCAGTTGATGGTGACAGGGCAAAGTGACCTTTTCCTCTGCCACTCTCTTGATCTCAGTGTGAGTTGCCAGGGTTCCAACACAGTAGGAAACTGGAGGAGACATATGTATGATGAGCAGTGCAGAAATTGAACGGCAATACATATTGAACAGATACCACAACAATAATTATGGGATATTCCTGTGGGCATCTCTTCTAGCAGAGGCTTCCAGAAAGATGATGCTTAAGGAAACCATACTACGTTGCCCAGTAAGCCCTGTTCTTGAAGTTATAGAATCAAAGCCATTTGAAGCTAGAGAAAACATTAAACCTGTATAGTTAGTTTTCTTTTACCAATGAGCTCTTTTAAATCCACAATTGTGACTGTCCAATAGCATGAACTTAGGATAAAAAGATGACACAACAAATATTGCAATATAAAGGGAAATTATTTATGATCAAAGGACCATGCAAATTTCGAGAAGAGAGAAATTATAGGCAATTAGTTATATATAGGCTTTACAGCTGGGCATGGTGGTGCACACATTTAATCCAAGCAGTCGGGAGGCTGAGACAGGAGGATCATTGTGAGTTCGAGACCAGCCTGGGCTACATAGTGAGTTCCAGGTCAGTCTCAACTACAAAGTGAGACCCTATCTCAAACAACAACAACAAAAACAAAACAAAAGCAAAACTCAATTATAGGCTGTAGAAAAAGCTTAACTCTTTCAAAGGTTTTGTAAATATTAGAAATACTGGGCTGGGAATTTAGCTTAGTGGCACCACACCTGCCTGGCAAGTGCAAGGTCCTGAGTTTAATTCTGGATACACACACACACACACACACACACACACACACATATTTTTAATTGTATATCAGTCATGTAGTATAATGTTTAGCAAGAAGAAAAAGAAGAGAAAGCTTTTTATATGGGCATCAGAAAGTGGAGTTCATGTATAGAAATAGAGGATAAGGAAAGTTATTGAGACTGGAGAGGAAAAATAATGGGAATGAAGGCACAGGATACAAACATGCCCAGCCAATGAACTGTAATAAATTGGCTGGTGTGAAGAAGAAATGTTAAAAGTCGTTAACACATTAGGCTGGGAAGGTAGTAGGGCAGTTTGCTTGCTTGTCCCAGTGGGCACAGTGACTGAATCCCTGGCTTTCCTCTCTGAGGACTAGAGGTTTAAGAATTGTGTGTAAGAATACATAGGAAAAGGGAAGCTACTGAGACATGCATTTTTTTTTTTTTTGGTAGTTTTTTTGAGGCAGGGTCTCACTATGTAGTTGAGACTGACCTGGAACTCACTATGTAGCCCAGGCTGGTCTTGAACTCAGTGATCCTCCTGCCTCAGCCTCCTGAGTGCTGGGATTATAGGTGTGTGCCACCACACCTGGCGAGACATGCATTTTTGAATAGGCTTTAAAATTTTTCTAGATGTGTAACTGAGGCTAACTGGTAAAGGTGTAAAAAACAAAGGACACCCGGGGATTTAGCTCGGTGGCACCACACCTCCTTCACAAGTGCAAGGTCCTGAGTTTGATCCCTGGTACCAAAAAAAACAAATGAAAAAGGACATTTTTGAGAAGTAACATGGAGGTCAAAACTATAGAACAAAGCAACTTACTGGATCTAAGAAGATAAAGAAATGATTCAAAAGTTAAGATTGTTTTCAAGCCTACTCAACTGGTAGGATGGCAATTGTATTCCCAGTAATTAGGAAAATAGGAGCATGGAATATTTTATTTAAATGGGAGGGGTGGATTCTGAGTTTGGATTTAAATCTATTGTGATATTCAGGAATAACTGAACCCTTTTCTTGGCCACAGTGTCTCCCTTTGTAGCACAGATAGCTACACAACTCCTAAAATTGTTTCTACCCTCAGTTGTGTTACAGAAAGTTACAGCACCCTATACATTGCTTTATTTCTTTATTTTTCACTTCTCTTGTGTCACAAGACTCTTGGAAATAGTCCTTTTCCATCGGTTGTGCCTGGGTAAACTCTGTCAAGTCCCTGTATTTTCCTTGTTAATTCCGCAGAAACACTATCTGTGGGACAAGGGAAGACAGAAATTGGCATTCCCTCCCAAAACTGGCCCCAGTATAAGGTTATGTTTCCAGGGTCACTCCTTATTACAGCTCTCTTAAAGACAGACCTTGTAATGCAAGAATGCCTCTGGGGAAAAAAGAGCTCCTACAGAGAGTTCCTTTTTTTTTGGTCCTGGGGATCAAACTCAGGACCTTGCACTTGCCAGGCAGGTGGTGGCACCACTGAGCTGCATCCCTGGCCTAGTTTCTCTTTCATTTAGGGACACACATAGTTTTGTTTTGTTTTGTTTTCTTCATTAAGTTTATTGGTACATTTAAAGCAAACAATACAGTTATATTTATCATTGGGATCTTGTACCTTTACATGATGTATCTTGGTTCTTGTTTTTTCTCCATATTCCTGCCCTCCCTTCACTGTGATTCACCCTCCCCTATTTACAAAGTCTTTGTTTCCTTTTTTTCATTTTTTCATGTTTTTTTCTTTTCATTTGTTTCCTTTCCCTGCCCCTTCCCACTTCCCCTTTAGCCACTGGGACACACATAGTTTTATCACTGGAGCTTCTGTTTCCATTCTGTCTTGTGGGTTTAAAATATGAAACAAATCTTTCTATTCAAAACAAAATTCTGGGAAGTCCAAGTCAAGTGGCCCCAGGGTAGCTCTGGTGAATCCTCCTGGCCTTTGCTCTGGAGCTCATGTTCACCAGGACAGACTCCTAGATCACCTTCATATGTTCTTTTAAAATTAGTACATGTTTGCAGTACATGCAGTTTATAGTCATCTTGGGGGGTGGGCACATGTACATATTACAGCTCAGTTATTTTTTAGTCCCCTTCTCCTTCTTTCCAGCCTCCCTCCCTCCCTCCTCCTCCAAATCCCTTAAAAACAAACAAACAAAAAAACCCAAAAAAACCAAAAAACCCAAATTCTGAATTACCCCATTTGGACAGATAGTATCCCTTCCAACTTTTGGCTTTCTTTTCTTTTTTTTTTTTTTCTCTTGGCTTTTGGCTTTCTTTACCCCTAGCTTTCATCTTTTTCTTTCAACTTTATTTTATTTATTTATTTTTTTGGTACCGGGGATTGAACTCAGGTCCTTGTACTTGCGAGGCAGGCGGCAGAACCACTGAGCTAAATCTCCAGCCCTTCTTTCAACTTTAGACCCTGCTATAGACTGAGTGGTCATGCCTTTCCCTACATTTATGTGTTGAGATGCAACCCTTAATATGATTGTATTTGAAGATGGGACCTCTGGGAGATGATTAGGCCACAAGGTGAAACTTTTATGAATGAGATCAGTACTCTTAGTAGAGCTCCATGGACTCTTCCACTACGTGATGACACAGAGACAAGATGGCTGTTTATGAATGAGGAAGCCCTCATTAGACACTGAATTGACCAGCACTTTGGTATTTGTTGTTTTGTTTTCTTCCATGCTGGAGATCAAACCCAGGCCTTTGTGTGCATGCTAGCCAAGTACTGTACCTCTGAGTTACATCCTGGCCCTCTAGCACCTTGGTCTTAGACTTATAGTGCCAGAACTGTGAAAAACAAATCTGTAGTTTATAAAGCACCCAGTCTGTGGCACTTAGAGTAGCCTGAACTAAAGATAGACTCCAAGCCCACCTTCTCTCCTCTTTCCTGTTAATCTCTCTTAGTACTTAGTTTTATTGACTGTTAAATTTACAGTATTGAAGATGGATGAATTGATACAATGAGACATTGGATCAGTTAACAACTTAACCCTAAAGGGTCAATTGCTTCTTGAACAGTTTTTCCCTAACCTGCAGGTTAAATTCCCAGAGAGGGAAATACAGGATTTTGGTACTATAGATACTACCCATCAGCCATTGGCTATTTCAAAGTTGCAGGCAACTTTTCTGCCCAAATGTTAATGATCTTAACTTCTGTTTTGTGTCATTTTTTTGTCATGCACACCTCAAACATTGAATCCTGTTAGAATGAATGTTAAGCAAAGTGTAAGACCATAAGAGGAATTTAGATGTTGGCCTCATATTTGCTCCAATATATAAAAATAATACTTTTAGGGCTGGGGATTTAGCTCAGTGGTTCTGCTCCCTGCCTTGCAAGCACCAGGACCCAATTTCGATCCCCAGTAACAAAACAAAACAAAAAACAAACAAGCAAAAAATAATACTTTGGTTGGATATGATGGCACATGCCTATAATCTCAGCACTGGGGAGGCTGAGGCAGGAGGATTGCCACAAGTTTGAGGCCAACCTGGGCTACATAGTGAATTCAAGGCCAGCCTAGACTATATAGTGAGACCCTATATCAACCCCACCATCCATTCAAATAATATTTTTAAATCTTTTACTTCATGTTTCACAATAATTTCCTATTAATTAATCTGATATTTTCATTTTTTTGGTTTTATCCTATGGGTTTAAATAAACTATAAATATTTAATATTTAAATCTAGCCCATGCAGTTGACAGTTGCTTCTCTAACAGGTAAACTAAGGGCACAGGGGTAAAAGAGCCAGACCAAGGTCCTAAGAACTCATTTGGAGCAGAAATAATCCATATAATAACCCATCCTTTTTATTTTTTTCCCCTGGTACCAGGGAATAAACTCAGAACCTTGTGCTTGCCAGGCAGGTACAGCACCACTGAGCTACTTCCCTGGTCCTAACCCATCCTTTTTCAGTCCCCATAAAACAGCTAGAGTGGCTCAGAAATTTGCCACTTTTCATTGAATTGAGCTAACCTTGTAACTCTGGCTTTCACCCCTGCTGGGCACAATACTGCTCAAGGAAACCACAGCACAACCCCCGAGGCAATGCTAAATAATCCAGCTTTAATTTAGTGCACACAGTAGGCACTCACTATGCACTAAATAAATCTGAAGAATCTACTGTAAAACTTGCCGAGTTAGGCCACTAGAGGGAATCAAAGGCTCAGATTTGGTTGATGTCCCAGAAGGACCGGAACATAGTGGTGGGTGTTGTGCTTTGACAGTGCCAAGTTCTATTTATATGATATCCAGAATTAAACATGGCAGTGCAGGGAGGGGCCTCTCAGTGAATATAAATGACTTCACCAAGGCAGGAACCTCAACCAGGTCCTTGGAAATTTTGTAATTAATTTCATTTATAGATTAAGAAACTTTATATATAAAA